ATGCATCTTGTAGTGTGCTATGTTTTTGACAGAACCGTAGAAATGATGATAGTTGGTCAGGCTCGCCAAATGGTCAAAAACACCAAATAATCACTGTTGATGTTTCAACAAGTGCACAAGGCAGGCTTATGTCTGTTTGTGTCTGGACCTGAAGTAGGTGAAGTTAGGATTGCACTGAATGGCAGCACAGGGAAATGGAAAAAAGGAGTAGCAATAAAGAGCTAAACGAAGAAAAAAGAAACATTAGATGGTTCATTAGTGCTCATTCTGCTGCAGTCTTACTGGTACGCGCTGCCAAGTGCGGCAGTTCCGAATTCACTTCAAATGTTTCTCCTCCACACTCAAAAGTCGCCAATTATGCAGAAACATTTCTTAATTGCGGACAATGACAATAGCAGTGACTGCTGAAATGTTTATTATTGTTTCATCACTGTAATTAAATGTTTTTCTTTCCCTCATTTGAAGTCCTTTCTAGTTTTACATCTATTTGAGTGCTCGCTGTTCTAAAATTCAGAGAGAGAGAGAGAACTGGTAGAGACAGAAGGGAGGGAGGGATAGTATGTGCTGTAAAGAGGTGGAGAGGTGACTCTAAACTCAGCTCTTACAGTTGTTAACAGATGATGGATTGTGTAAAAGACACCGGGGAGAATAAGCTCTGGTCCAGTCACCAGTTCCACAAAGGAACAGAGACAAAGGGACACACAGTCATCTCTTGCCCACCTACAGTAGGTCTGTCTCTCTCGTCTCTCTCTTCCCTTCTGACCAGTTTTTCATAACCACCTGCCTCCCATTTAATCTGATTACCTTCTTACTATTTCGTCTGTTTCTGCTTCCAACGGAATCACATCTGGCTAAGCGCTGTGCGTTTTTCTTCACCACTCTTTAAGCACATCAACATACATGTTGGTAGCCAGAAGAATGGATGGATTCTGGAAGGAAACTGGTGAGCGGGGAGTAAGGAAAACACCAGAGAAGAAAACAAATAAATGAGCAGAAAAAGAGATAGCAGGGCGTTTGAGGGTGGGGGGAGTAAACACTGAACGAGATTATACAGAATTGCAAGAAATCTCAACGAGTTTAAACACAAGTCCAAAAAGTGTCTGCATGTTTGTGTGTACGTCTGTCTGGTAGACACAGTCCCTACTCCCCACTTGGTTCAACCTATCACCCCCCAAACTTTATCTGATTTTGGCTTCCATTGTGTTAAGGGTGCTACTTTTATGTTTTCTGATTCTGGGGGGAGCAGTTAATTAATATTTTTTAGCTTTGTGGGTGTAGGTCAGTGACTCTCTGAGGTGGTGTGTGTTTATACAGTATGTGTGCTTGTGACTCAAAGCCCCTCCCCTTCTGTCCACCCCCCATTACCCCCTGCTTTCAGAGGCAAGGCTTTCATGCATAATGCAGAGAGAACAGGGAGGCTCTCATTAATAATTACTGCTGCCTTTGATGGATAGAGAAAATAAGGAAGGGGGGGTGTTAAAAATGGAGCGAGCAAGTGAGGGAGGAAAGTAGAGTTTTTGGGTGTTATTTGTTCCTGTTGTAGTTCTTCAAGGACTGAATGCTTATGGGATGGACTTGGAGTTGGTCCAGTAAAAGCTAGGCTGATGTTTTGAATGAAGTGTTAGGTATTTTTAGTCAGATAGATATTGGATAGATACTTTATGTATTAGAAATGTTTAGTGGAGATAGGATGTCTAGTTAGACTGTTAAATGCTTAGGCATGCTTATGAGTTTCTACAGGGTACATCTGGTCAAGGATAACTAGCTTCATGTTTTGACTACTGCTATGACCAGCTGCAAAGCTGGCAACAGAGACGTCTCGGTTGACGTTTTTGTGTAGTATGGGGCTAGCCCAACTGAGGGGATATAATGTATAGGCCTGGTGGGTTCAGGGTCTTTCATCTTACATCTGCCCGCGTGCAGGTTGGAGGTGCAAGATGCCTGAGCGTGTAATGTTAATTTTTACCTGTGTTCATGGAATAAATCAGCACTGTTTTGTAGTTACTTGGACTGTCTCGTCTCTCAGAGTCAGTATGGTAAAAAGTACTGGGTACAACAGAAGTAACTCCTCTTCTGATGGTGGAGGGATCTCTGAACATGTGATGAATCTTTGTGTTGGATGCAGTCATTATCCTTCAAGGGTGTAGGTCTCTTGCTTTTCCTCTGATATTCCTTTTATTCAGACATCTTTTTTAGATGATGAGACTCTGGGTCAGCGGGGAAGGTCAGGGGGAACAGCAAAGCTACAAGACCCATGCCAGCCAGCCAATCAGAGTAAAGGCTCTGGTGGACAGTCAGCAGTAGAGTGGCTAATGGTGGCCTTTGATGGAGGGGCCACCATTAGCCTCGTCACTGAACAACAGCACTGGGGGCAAGATGGCTGACATCCAGCACTGCAGCAATTGAGAGAAACAGGGTGAAGGTAGAGATGGATGCAGAGAGAAAGGGAGAAACATTTGAGTGGATTCAGTGGCAGATACAATAATGGAAATAAGTTAAATTAGAAAACGTATGTTTTCATAATAGTAAGATATGAAATCAGGGATGTTTTAGTTACTTTAGAGATGTTAGTTCTAGGAATAACAATAGTGGTCTGTAGGTAGGTCCATCAGTTTGGGCCAGACTGAAATATCTCAACAAAAATTAGATAGATTGTCATGAAATTTGCTAAACACGATCATGCAGCCCTCATGATAAACTGTAATAATTATGGTGATTCCCCGACTCCTCATATTAGATAATATTTGCCTTTTTCGAAGCATGGCGACCAAATGAAAATGACAAGTGACAACCTCTGTCTGTGACATTTGTGAGGATGGTGGCATTTAACACCATGCACCACTGTGCTTTGGTACAGTGTTTATATTCTAGTTAGGATCTGTTGTAGAGCGCAGCAGTTGAGATGGAAAGGTTGTGTGAGGCTAAAAGGACCAGAATGAGAGAAGACAGAGATTGCCTTATGGCTAACTTGAATAAACTACTTACATTTGTCAGCACAGTTCACATTCTTCTGTTTATCTCCCTTGGGCTAAATGTGCCAGTGACTTTAAGCTAATATAGATGTCCTGTTGCTATGGCAGATTTCATATGTAATTTGTTTGCATTGCATTGATAGAGAAGATATTAAAGGGGAATGAGCTCTGTACTAAAGAGAGACTGATGATATGCACACCCTGTTCAACAGGGTGATCTCCACAACATAACTTTGATCATATTTGAACCACACAAGCATTTAATATTGTTGAAGAATTTTTCAGTGAAGCAAATTCCGTGAGGCAGCAACATTAGTTACACTGAGTTTATTCAGCGCGTGTCGGAGGGAAGGCGCCGTCTGCTTGTCTGCTCTGATTTGAATGACGACCAGATGAATACTTATAGCTATTACATCCGAACAGACTGTGTTGTGGATAGGTTGTGACACTGTGATGTAAAGTAACATTTAAGCAGATCACTGTGTCGGGGAGATGTCAGCATCTTGGGGCTACAGCTTGTTTTCACAATCACTGAAAATCAGTTTTCCCTCATAATAATACAAAACGACATGAGATACTGTATTAATATTCTTACAGTATGTTTGACATAATGTAAAACACTTAAAGGTTTAGTAATACCTATAATGACAAAGTGGAAATATGGTTTTTAGAATATTTTCCAGTTTTATTTTGCAAAATTTAAGTGTTGAGCCCCTTAATTCAGTGTTTTGTGGAGGCCCCTTTGGCACCATAATTGCCTAGAAGTCCACCTGTTTATATCAATGAGCCTAAATAACAGAAACATCTTTCTGTTTAATACAGTACATTTCACCTGCAACACAAGCTCCATCCTCCAAAATGACCATAGAGTAGAATCAGCAACTCTGAAACATTATCACCTTCATGAAGGGAGGATTTATTGCAGGACTTTATGACATGGCCATACAGTATAAACAGGTGTGTGCCTTTTCTAAACTATGTTCAGTCTTTTCAATTTGCCACAGGTGGACCTGAGCGCTAAACACGTCTCAAGGAAAGTTAAAGCAAATATCTAGCCACAATTTGCAGTGCCATAGCAAAACATCTGAATTTTTCACTAAATGTGAGATTTCTTTTTTTGAAATTAAGGATAATCACCTTTATTTGGCCAAGTGTGTTACACACAAGGAATTTTTTTCCGGTAGAGAACCGAGGCAGCCATCTGCGGCGTCAACTCCACTGATGGCTCTAACCATCAGGGGCAACTTTGGGGTTTAGTGTCTTGCCCAAGGACACTTCGACACATGGACTGCAGGCACCGAGATTTGAACCTTCAACTCTCCAGTTGGGAGACGACTGTTCTACCCACTGAACCACAGTCACCCAATTAGCAAAGACTCTACAAGACAGTAAAGAGGGAAATATTTGTTTTTAAAATGACCTAATCAACTGTCACTCTCACTGAGCTGAAAGGCTGTGAAAGCCTAAAGAAGAACACACGTGCCACTCGCCACAACAGAAGGTCAAAGAGTAAGAAAGACAAGGATTTAAAACGTGAAGAAAAGAATGTTGCTTTTCAGTAATGAGGAGAAACAGACTGAGTGGGAGAGATCCTAAAAAATGAAGACAGGAAGAAGGCTGCCATAGGGATGTTTGTGGATGCCAGAGCTAATCAGGATGGGAGCGTCTGAAAAACGTAGATGTGATAGCAGCTGTTTGGCCTCCCAATCAAGGGACACTAGGCCTGGGCCTCCTCCAGACACACTGATGTAAAGCTGATGAAAACGCTGACAGTGCCACATAAATGACAAAAGAAGAACACATCCACCTACATGAGCCCATACACCTACACACCACAGGCCTCCCTAATGAAAGCTTCAGTCTGCACTGATCTTTGAATTCATTTGGCTTCATGAATTCAAGATGCAGTATGATGACATAATCATGAAAACCTTTTACATGCAAATGACAATGTGTCTGCAGTGATCGTGGTACTTATGGCAGTTGCTAGGGTGTCTTATTTTCCCTTTGTGTGGTGTGTTTACACAGGTATGAGGCAGCAGGAGGACCATGGTACTCAGTATCGTTCAGCCATTTACACATCCAGTCCCGCTCAACAGCAGCTTGCACTGAACAGCAGAGAGGCCTTCCAGCAGGTATTATACCCACACATACAGTACGTCATAAGGTTTAATTATAATATTTACTCAAGCATGGGAGGCAGAATTACCAGACTGAACAAAATATCATTTTGTCATAATTTCAGATCACTTTTTTGGCAATTACACAGGGCTAAGCTGTCGCAGTTATTTGAATAACAATTAAAATCCAGTCTCTGGAGTGTTGACCTCTTAGAGTTGGATGCCGTTTAGTTAAGCAAAGCCACCTCTGTTCAGTTGATCCCCATCTACATTCAATCAGTGGCACCCTCTTTCTGAAACTGAAAAAGAGGAAGAGGTCGATAGGTCATCAAAACTCATTTCTAAATCTCTCCCTTTCAGTGGCACACACTCCCCCCTTTTGTTCTTTCCATCCATCTGTCTTGTCCCTCCATCCATCCAGCCGTTGATCCCTACAACAGTTTGGTTTGGTTGTCTTTTGTCTCTCTAAATGGGATTCATGGACAAGCTGGCAGGGGGGCAGAGGGGAGCAAATTATGATTGTCATGGTTACTTAGGGTTCCCGGGGTCAACAGTCACAGGCCACAGGGTTGTCATGTTGCCATGATAGCAACCTCCCAACCTTGGCCTTGGGCTAGGGTCAGAGGTAAGAGAGGAGCGGCAGCTGGGACCAGGAAGGTGGGGGTTGAGAAAATGAGAGAGGCAATCAGATCAGAGTGACCGACGGGCTATCAACTGTGACTGTGACCCCCCCCCAACACACACACAGCCTGCATTTATAAGCCATACACCCTCTTCACAGTGTTCAGGGAAACAAAATCACAACAGGCATTTACCAGTAGGTCCACACAACATGACAAGTTTTTAAAATCTCCTCCAAAAATGGAAATGTGAACATTTAGGTTATAATTGCAAGTAAACTGAGCAAACTCTTGATAGCTCTAGAAAAGAGCTAAAGGGCCTTGGGGGGGTGTATCAAAAGTAAAATAACAATAGTAACAAAATCTATGATCATTAGTTTCTTTATTGCATCAATATTTTTGTTCAGTGTCTCATCATTGTATCCCTGTCCTAAAAATTCAGACTAAATGGAAACAAAAAACCTAAAATTCAGGTTTTATGGAAACATTGTGGTGAGTTTTTTCCTAAAAGCCACCAGAACATATGTTGTATCTTTGACAAATAAATTTCTGAGTAGTATCCTATTCTGAAAATAACAATAATTGATTTACCTACATAAGCGAAGTGATAACCAAGCGAAAACATGCAAGGGTTCATCGAGCTAATGTTAAATTAAAAAAAATCCTGTTTTATGAAACATCGTTTTTATGTCACCTCCATTCCAGGGAAGGGCTGAGAACCATAACCCAGTTCACATGAGACACTTGCAAAACACACTTTTACAAACGTCCAGAGGAGAAACGGCACTCGGCTCTTCCCTCCTTCTCTTTCCCCACCAGTGCTGCTGACACCACCAATCTGTCAACCACTTCAGTGGCACCCCGGTTTCATCTGAGGGGCCACTGGGACACATATCTTCTCAAAGCAGCTGACACAGTCTGAGCCAAAATGGCACCTTCCTGTCCTGAAATGGTTGCCTTGCCGCATCGATGCTGAGTCTGAAAAATGTCGCATGTGAGTGTGTGTGTTTTATCCTGAAAGGCCGATGCTCTCTATCGAGAGAATTAAGTACGTTCCGCACAGTGAAGGAGGAGTGGGTGGATGCGATCTAAGACGACCAGAGATAAGACAGGCATCACAAAATCCAAATTCCACCCCACTGCCAACCATTGACTCGCACATACTTATGTACAAACACACATACACACACAACTCAATGAATAATTAACCCATATGAAGAGTCGGTTCTGCAGGGCTTTCAGTTTCTTAACTTCAGAATTGGGGGGTTAGGGAGAGGTAGGAGAGGGAGGCAGAAAAGCTAGTTTAAGCGCGAGACCAGAGAGGAGAAGGGGGTTCTCTATAATGAAATTTGAAATTTGCAGAACATCAAAGGCTTCTGTATCCAAGCCGCTGTGGCAGCAGAGCAGAGAGGAGGAGTGCTGCTCTTTCTCTCCCTCGGTCTCCCCCATCTCTCACTCTCTCGGTATCCCTCCCTTTTTGCTAAAATGTGTCTCCCCAGAGTGGTGAGGGGGGGGCACAGGGTGAAAGAGAAGGGATGGGAAGAGTTGATTAGGAGGAGAGTGCAGGGTGGTGCAGGGGTGGGTTAGAGATGGGTTAGGTTTTGGAGAGAAAAATAGAAGAACAGCCTCGTGTGTGTGTGTTTGTGTGTGTGTGTGTGTGTGTGTGTGTGTGTGTGTGTGTGTGTGTGCGCACGCTTGCATATGTATGAACAATAGGTTTTATCAAGCCAGCTTGAATATTGCGTGTGTGCATGCACATGCATGTGCATAGGGCCTTGGAGGGGTGAGTGTGCCCTCTGATAAGGCACCCTAACTTAATGAGCTTGAAAGGGGGATGGTGGTGTGGAGGTTCACATGATGGATGGGGGGGGGG